TGATGCGCAATTCGTTGAGGACGGCCCCGCCGACCGGATCGCCGGCGATGATGGCCAGTCCCGGCGGGCGCATCGGTGTAGCCACGGGAAATCAGCGGCCCGTGCACTTCGGACGCCTTGTTCTGGGCGCTGCCCACCGGCAGATCGGGCAACCCGAACGTCAAGGCGAGCGCGATCACCGCGACCGCCGCCGCGCCGGCACCGACCCATGCAGATTTATTGCTGTGCGCCATCTCGGACCGTTTTGAGCAACCCAGCGAGAAAGGCCCGGTTTTCCCTGAACGTCAAGGAAGCGCTGGTGCTGCCGCACAGGATTGAACTGTGGACCTCCCCCTTACCAAGGGGGTGCTCTACCACTGAGCTACGGCAGCGCGCGGCCGGGGGTATGCCATAGGGCAGGGAGCGGTTCAACCATTGGCCGCCGGCCGGAATTGCTTGATTTCGACGACTTGCCGTGCCGTTCGGCGTCTGCCTACCATTTCGCAACAAAAATTGGAGGAATGGATGGACTGGCGCCCGATTTCTGCCGATTCGCACATCACCGAGCCGCCCGGCTGTTATCTCGATCATATCGAACCGGCATTCCGCGAGCGGGCGCCGCGTGTCGTCCGTCACGAGACCATGGGCGACATCTATGTCGTCGACGGCATGAAAACGCCCGTTCCGATGGGACTGATCGCCGCCGCCGGCGTGGCGCCCCAGGACATCCGGATCGGCGGCGCGAAATTCGAGGACCTGCATCGCAGCGGCTGGGATCCGTCGAGCCGCCTGCAGGATCAGGACCGCGACGGCGTGGCCGCCGAGATCATCTATCCGACGGTCGGCATGCTGATCTGCAATCATCCCGACTTCGATTACAAGAAGGCCTGTTTCGACGCCTACAACCGGTGGCTCCAGGCCTATTGCTCGCATGCCCCCGATCGTCTCATCGGCATGGGCCAGACGGCCATGCGCACGGTCGCGGAAGGGATCGCGGATCTCGAGCGTATCAAGGCCATGGGGTTTCGAGGCGTGATGATGCCCGGCAACCCTGGCGAAAAGGATTACGACGATCCGGTCTACGATCCCTTCTGGGAAGCGGCCATCGCGCTCGAACTTCCCCTGTCGTGGCACATCCTCACGACCTCGGGAGACAATTCGCTCTCCAAGCCGCGCGGGCCCAAGATAAACGGCTTCCTGTCGATCATCCGCGGCTGCCAGGACATCATGGGAATGCTGGTCTTCAGTGGCGTATTCGAGCGTCACCCGGCTCTACGCGTCGTCTGCGTCGAGGCCGATGCAGGCTGGGCGCCGCACTTCATGTATCGCATGGACCATGCCTACAAGCGCCATCGCTACTGGATGAAGGGCAAGGAACTGGCGCGAATGCCGTCGGACTATTTCCGCGAGAACATCGCGCTGACGTTTCAGGACGATTGGACGGCGTTCCAGTTCGCCGATCAGTTGGCGCCTCAGCAGCTCATGTGGGCCAACGATTTCCCGCACAGCGACTCCACCTGGCCCTGGAGCCAGGACGTGATCGCCGAGCAGACCGGCGCATCTGACGCCCGGAACTCAGGAAGCGAATCCTGCGCGACAACGTCGCTGAACTCTACCGGATCGCCGCCTAGCGGCAGCTTTTGAGCTGGAGCAGGCGGCCGC